AACGAAGGTCAGCTGTCATCCTTGGGCGTGCTAGTCTCGTCGGCACTAGTTGTGGCGACCGTAGAGAGAGGGAGACAGATAATCATTCCTGCGCTCAGCATGCAACCAATTTCACAAACAAATCCGTGAGGCGGTTTCTTGTATCGCTAGAACGAGCTGCACAAAATGGCCGAGGGAGGATATAGTTGAGAGCTCCTCGCAGCCAATGGGTAGGCTGGAAACTTTATTAAGAAACGTTGGGGAAGAACCTAGAGATGGCGTAGGAGAACTGCTTAGGCCAAAGTACTAACGTGCGTACAGTGCCATTTAATGTTGATGTATGTGAATAACTCTCAGAACTAATTAGTCAAGTGCTGCTTGGAGTAGCGCACAAGCCGGGGAAAAAACACTTGACACGTGCGTAAGAAAAGCTCGCTAACAATCCGCAGTTTTAAGCTTTTTCATCCAAGTGAATGCGATTTTGCAAAGTATAAACTGAGAAGAAGAAGAAGAAGAAGAAAGAAAATGAAAAAGCATTTTTGTTCACCGGAACAATTTGTTTATTCATCTGAGATTTAGAACGCTTAATGGAATCCATCGTCATAGATAAAAGCGACAACAAAGTGAGCGGTAGTTATTGAGGACGAATAGGAACCAGTCAAACGGCAGTTCCGAGATGACTGCGCAGGGATCTGTACGCCTGTTGACTGATCCATATATCGATCGGAGACCAATAATTAGTCAACTCGTGGCTTACTTTGTTCCGGGTGTGGCACCTCAATTGGCTAGAGGAGGTGATCGTGAGAGGCGCATCCATCAATCAGGCTAGAGGATATGCTCGGTCGTTTGTGCATTTGGGTTTAGGTGAGAGTTTTGGCAGACAGCCCTATAGCGACCAGTACTGGCGCAGGAAGGAGTATGTCTGTAGACGAAGGAGACTGGGGCGGATGTTGCTGGATTATTGAACGCCGGTGGCCAGTCTTAAAAAAGCGAATAACCCGGCAATAGTCACACCAGTCTTCCTGGTTTTTATAGGTACTCCTTCCTACATGATTACTAGTCGCTGTGCGGTTCCTTTTGAAGCGCAAGGAGGCAATCATGTCCAATCGCCTCATCGGTGACCGCAATGTTCACAATAGTGAATATTCTTGGTTGTATCCGGCATAGTAACGGCCCTGTGATCCAATGATAAAGACTTGGATTAACGAATGTTCAATTACAATAACAATAATACATATTGAGGTTCGACTGGCCCGGCTGATTTGTCTCGGCAGTACAAAATCATGTAGTTCTGTAGCGTCGGCGCCAAGTCCGCAAACCGTCACGTGACTGAGCGCCTCTGTCTGCTTCTCGGACAGCCAATCACAGGTGCCGTAGGCTGCAGTTGATCACGCGACCAGTGACGCACACTCGCATGACGTTTATGAATTTACGCCCATAGCACTCTAGCATAAGTTGTGGACTTGTTTTGTTACATTTTGGCTTCCTCATGTCCAAAAAGGGCACATTTTGCTGCGTCAAACCCTCTGATTGGGAGTGCTGTGCTGTTTTTACCTATGATTGTTTTTAAAGACCACATCATTACCATTATAGAAGAAGGTAAGACGTTCTCTGGGACCAGGGGTTTATTTGTCCGGCGTTTCGAACCCTCCCGCTAGCTCATTGTCAAGGAATGAATAAAGTGTACAGCTCACAGAGTATTTAAGTCGGTTCTGCCGGGAGTGAACTCTGCCCTTGACTTCTGCCCTCGATCTGCTCGCGAAACGCGAGTTAGGCATCAGGAAGCTCGGAAACGTCGGATAAATAAACCCCTGGTCCCAGAGAACGTCTTACCTTCTTCTATTCAGTTACCTGAACCTCGCATATTCTCGACCATTACGATTATGTACGTAGCTGTGCAATAGCAGTAAATAGTACTCAAATGTCCGTGTTTTAAGGTATTCTCCACTGCTGTTAGTAAGAAGGAGATAGCCATTGTAGTTGTCGCAAAAGGGCGCCCACCGATCGCGTTACGGCACGTACAGTAAACAACAACAACACCGTCGATATGTATCTCATTAACTCCAATTACCTGTTCTTCCTTCATCCGGATTGTTTTCACCTAAACTCTGGTCTGGGAAGTGAACACTTGTAGTGATCGAATTCAGCTTCCAACGCTAAACCCCTTGCCTGTCGCGACTGTTAGCACATGCGCATCAGTGTCTGCTGACCCTCATCCAGTTGGGCCAATCATCTCCCTGAGGCTGACTCACACATGACCTCGCTGGAGATCCTGTGACGACTTCCCATGGTCTCACATTTCCGACGCCGCCCCTTGCGGCTGCGGATGCGCGCTCGTCTGACTGTCAACTTTCTCCAATCCATTATTAACTAGCTCTGTATAGAATACACTCTTCCTCCCACCCGGTGTCCCACTTCCTCTCTTCCCACACGAAACCGGACCTGAAGATTGCAGCGGCAAGGGTCTATCGAGGAGTTAAGGTTTATATGGTTAACCCTAGCTGCTACGATCTTCAGGCCCGGTGCCTTATGAGAAGAGAAGTTGGTGAGAGGCCAGAGTGGTAGGACCAGTTTATTCTGTACAGAAGGTTTGGGAGAATAGGTTGGAAGAAATTTAATCTTGGACGTGTGCAGTCCGTTCCCTAGCGGGGCAGCATCCCTGTCAGGCGCTATGTGAGTTGGCCTTAGGGAGATGATTGACCAGTTCAGATTGGGTAGCGTGCAGCTAGTCACTCTAGGTCGTCACTGTTAACTTATGGCCCTACGGTAATACCAGCTCAGGAATTGTCAACTGGTATCCAAAAATGTGTATTCGGTTCTAAACGACTTCCTAATTAGGATTGTGATATTAATTAAAGTACTCCATAATCCTAAGCTCTTTCTGTCCCCATAGTCTGCCAGCTGTTCATTCAACAAATAGCCTTCCCGCTGCCTGCACAAGCAGCTTTCTGTAAAAAGGAACTGTTTAAATTGTGGGCAATTTTCGTAGGGATTTCCAATGGCCTTATAAAGTCGCATATATTTTATGGAAAACACGCACGAGCATAGTCATTCTTGTACTCAGTTGATAGTCTGAATGGTCGAGAATATGCGAGGCCCAGGTAAGTGAATAGAAGAAGGTAAGACGTTCTCTGGGACCAGAAGTGTATTTGTCCGACGTTTTGAACTCTCCCGCGACCTCATTGTCAAGGAATGAAAAAGCGTAAAGCTCACAGTATGATTAAGTCGGTTCTGCCGGGCAGTTGATAGTATCCTTCGGGTTGAAAGTAAGTTAAGATTGCCAAGTAATTTTGAAGCCGGTGTTGCAGTGGCTTTAGTTAATAGGGAAGACTCTTGCCGCTGTAATCCTCAGGCCTGGTTCTCTGTGGAAAGAGAAGAGGTGGGACGCCGGCTGGGGAGCAAGAGTGCTTTCTGTACAGAGCTACTGGAGAACAGATTGGAGGAAGTCGACTGTCGGACAAGTGTGCGGCCG